TTATAGCAGATGTTCCGAAAAGAGATCATATTAGGAACTCACCGAGTATTATGGAGGCATTTGCTCGCTGGACAAGCTTATCCACAGTGTTCTTGAACTCCTTAGATTCTTTAATCCTGATTTGCGCTCGAAACACCTCGCCCAGGCGCGGTCTACCCAGCAGTGCCATTTTCTCTTCCTCCGTTCTCTCCTCCGGCTGCTTCATCTCCGCCGCTGCAGCCATTCCTGCTTCCGCTGAAACCAGAAAATCGCGTCTTGCTGCTTTAATAATGTCACGGGACATGTTTCATAACAGAATAAGTAGAGAGCCGATTCATGGTCAGATAGGAACAGCGAAACAGTTTTTCCGTTAATTAAGAGTTTTAATTAATTCCAGTCTGACATGATAAATATGCGAGATGTACCGCTGAAAATTTCTTTATTGGATATTTTCAGTTATTGAATGACCCATTTTTGCATTAGCAAAGTGCTGCATTTTTTATAACTTCAAGAAAATAATTTTAACATCGAAACGTAGATGTACCGACACAGTTCTAAAATCATTAAAAAATATATAGAGTTATACAAAGTTATAAAATCATAAACAGAGCATTTTATTTAGTATATTAAGAATTATTAATTATTCTTTAAAAATATTTTATTTTTTATTTTTTGCTAAAATTATTTTCTTATAATTATGATATTCATTTTAATATATAGTGCTATTATTTTTATTTATTATATTGATATATATTACTAATTCATATACTTGTTAAATATAATTCTATTTAGCCTCTAAAATACCTTGACTTCCATATAGGTATACTAAATTTTATATACGTATACCCATATAAAACGCGTATAGTATTAAAGACTTAATAACATTATTAGTATATATTGTTAAAGATAAACTCACACATAACACCCCGACCTGACTAAAGATTGATTGTGTGGAAACAATATTAGACAATTGATTGATCGATATCCTCTGTACATGTAAATCTATTTAAATAGACCTTAAACACAGACGACAAACGCGACAAACAGTCGCTTTCTCGCATAGTCGCGGCTTTACTATCGATTGGTCTCATGAATTATAGTCGCACACCTCTCTTAAGCTAATTCCGTGCCTCGTACTTCGTGTCTGACCACGCATCGACTCACATCACTTGCATTGACACTTTTCTACTAGCGTATAGTGTGAAACTAAACTCACAATCAGCCTAGAAAACATTGTTCTATGCGGCTGCATACAAATGTAGAGATATAAATATTAATTTCGTCATTCTTACATAGTTAGTACAGTAGTTAGTTTTGACAAAAATATTTTGAGCCGTATTATTCAACTATATCTGAAGAAATGTTAACATGTAAAGAACGATATATTAATAGCTATGTAAAGACTCTATAATTTAAAAAATTAAAACTTGATACGGGCAATAAGAGCCAAGCGAGACGTTTAATCGCTAATTATAAAATACATGTTAAAATTACGAACATTTCGACCCTATTTTGGGGTCCTCCTCAGCGCATTATATAAGATCCATTGTTTACATAAATCGACGGCGTGAAGGCCATAATAATATTTAACATTTTGAAAGAACGAGTAACGCATTTTGCAGCCTGCGTGAATTAATAGCTTGTAAAGGCTCTATAATTAAAAAAATTAAAACTTGATACGGGCAATAAGACCCAAGCGAGACGTTTAATCGCTAAAATTTATTATAAAATACATGTTAAAATTACGAACGATATATTAAGTAGTCCAAATATTATTTATGTATAACGATAAAAAGGCAATGCGATGTATACTGAAGATTTTGTACAAAATAAGTCTGCTGTGCTATCAACGCATAAATAATACTCGATAACCACATTTATCTCCGTCATCGAGGGATGATCGATACTTTGCACCGGATGGTTCGATCGATGATGAATGACGCATTTATTGTCGATATCTTCTGTCCACAACCGTGATAGTATATGATCGTATTTCATCGTAAAAATAAAAGAAAGTAGGAATAAATCCGGGATATGTGCCAAAATAAAAGACAGCCACGAGAAATAAAAGAATAAATAAAAGTTAGAGAAATAGAGAAAAAAAGTATTATTATTATTAGAGAAAATTTGTACAGAGTTCCCATTAAAATGGAAAATTTTAATGTAGAGATATATATAATTTCTTTAAAAAATAACAAAATTCTACAGAACAGTTTATATATATATTTTTGTTTTAAAAATCTCTTGCAAAAAAAGTCTATGGACTATTTTTACATTTTCCAATGTAAGAAATCAATAAGCGGACAAACTTGTTCTTTAAACGATCAGAGTTATGCCTTAAACACAGCAGGAAAGTTAAAATATCTTTATTAGAAAAATGTATTATTTTTTAATCGCAATTATCTACTTCAAATTTTCATTTCAAGAAACATCCTTTTGTAAGCAGATATAAATTTGTTTGCCTTTTACTGTATTCTAGTATTACTCTATAAAAGCTTCTTATAGCTCATATCTCGACTAAAGCCCGGTGGGTTAGCTTTCCGCATTGGCAAATTCAATTTCACTCGACTTTTCCTTGATTTAGGATCGATGTATCCTCCGTTATCTCAGTAATACCCTCCTAAACTTCGCGTCTCGCGAAAGATATTTTGTCAGATCACTATTGCATCACTAATTTCAACATATTAAGTATAACAATGAAAAAAATATTTAATGTTTTATAATATGTAATTATAAAAAGCTTTTGATAATTTACTGGATAAGCGGAAAATAATATTTTACAATAAAATGTAGTTTGAAATATAAAGTAAAATAATAAACATTATTTAATAATGTCAGGTTATTATTTAATAATAATAATAAAGTAATAATATTATACTATGTAATAAAATCGCATTTATCACATTTGCAGCATATTATTGGCGTTTGCAAAATACAATAGTAATCTTTATTGGGATACAATTTCATAATTGTATCCGTATCCGTATTTTCAACGTAAACTATATTTGTTGTTTACTACTTTTTGTTTTTATGATCTGTATTCACATTTCACTTGTGTGAAAATTCCCAGCTATATCGATCTGAAAGTGTTTTGAATGCTTTCAACCTTTACAAAAATCGGAAAAGAGACTTTTCCGGAACTTTACGTAACTATGTACATCGCAAAAACTCAGTTAAAATAAGGCCAAAATCAATTAGCACTGTGAGATTTATAGCATACTTGAAAATAAAATCTTTGGAAGAGTATTCTGTTATAATTATTCAATGTATATAATTAAATAAATAATAACAATAAAAATATTATATAGGATTTAATGATATGGTATTTTTTAACCTATTCTTTTAAAATTAATGGATTTTAATGCTCTTGATATGTATAAAAGATGCAGCGAGTTAATAAAATTTGATCTAAATTTACTTTTTAAAGCTATCGGTGTAATACGTCGTCGAACTTGAAACTTATCGAACGCGAATGATTCGAACAAAAGATGCGGGAATACAATTTATCAGGGAAGATGGAGAGGGCAAGGGATTAGCAATGGTAGATTATTCCTGTCCCAGACATGGATAAGATCAATGAACGATCGGTCGATGAACGCCAGATGCAGTCGGGGGTGCGATTTATTGCCCTCGAAATACGTCTTTCGTTGAAAAAGCCGGCGCGTATAAAATTTGCGGTAAAGGGAATGTAATTCGTCTCGGGAATTATTCCGCATTGTGCAAACTTTCTAGCACATTTCCCAGTATTGCTTCCTTCGCTCGAATGTAATAACGCATTGCGACGCATTTTAAGTGAGTTTCGTCACAATGTGAGTTAGCTCAACACAGAAATACTTTACGCGCTCGCATTTTTATGCAAATATAAATTTATTATTAACTTCACTTATTATTAACTTTACTTTTCATATAAAAAATAAAGCGATTTCAGTTTTACATTTTATTTTATACTTAATGTTGAATGAGTTGGAAAATCTCTTTTTTAGTTCTTTTGAGACTATAACAATAAAACACGTATGATACACCTTTTATTTTTTATCTGTTACGAACTTCAAATGCTTATTTGAGCTACTTAGAGTAAATAATCTTAAAATAAAAGAAAGCACGAGATACTTACGAGAAAAAACTGTTCCATTTTTTTATTGGGTAAACTTCGCAATCGAAAAATTTTTAGCTGCAGCGAAACTGGAACGCGGTGATTGAATACAAGCGTTGATAACTAAATATGGTCCTGGCTTTTCCATTAGAATATTTTAAACTTGATTGGTAGCGGGGAGTCAGAAATAAATGGCGGCGGAAAACCTCGTCTCATTTCGCAAGGTTTTTTTTAACGGTAGTGGAATTTTTACGAGCGCTCCTCGATCAAAACGTCGAAATTATCGGAAAACATAAGAAATGGCAGGACGAGAGCAAACTATAAATTCAGTATATGGATACAGTAAAATCTTTTTCAAATTTTAAAAAACTTTAGAAATCTATTTGTCAGAAATGAACACATTATTTAAATTAAAAGATTTTTTTTTTTAATTAAAGATTGATTTTAAACTATTATAACTGCCTAGTTAAAAAATTATACAAAAAACTTAAAGGTACTTACTATATTAGAATATCAACACGATGTTATCTCGCGTGCAGCAAACAGCGAGGCAAATCGTTATATTTATACGCGAGCCGTCAAGTTGAAGGTACTTTAGATTATCGTATCTCTCAGTCACAGCAATTGAGTTTCACTAACAGGTTTAATCGATAGCTATAATACCGATTATCTAACGAACATGCTTTTAATATTGTTCTACGTTTTATGAATGGAGCGCAATGCAATATGGCAGTTAACATTCAAGAATTTAAAGCGACAAGCGTTGCTTCAGCATAGCTCTAAATGTTTGAATATTTTAATTGCAGAAATTATATAATTATTCGAAATGAGATAAATCTTCGCCAATTCTTTTTTCCGTTTTAAATATTTAATTAGTACTTCACCTACACTGATTTGAGTATAATTAATTAATTAGCAAAAATATTACTTCACAGTTGTTTGGTTGAAAAGGGTATAAGTTAATGTATGTCTATATACTCGAGCTTACTCAGGGTCATGATCACGCGAGGGTCATGACATATCGAAATAAAAATCATTTCAATCAAAGCTAGGTTCTAGATATATATTCTTTACATACACCTTTCGTACTTTTAATTTCTTTATCAATTTTTTTATTTATTTTTATTTAATATGTCTATGTTTTTCTTTTTAAGATAATTTT